AGCCCGCCGCCACAGCGGGACTCAGCTCGCTCCTCCTCCAAGAAGCCTCCGGCGAAGACGGCCTCGGCGCACAAAGATACTACCCATGGGAATAAGGATACACAGCGCAGCGTGCCCACCAGCGCCACGATGACATCAAACGGTGTGCCAGCCATGGGGAGCAAGCCAGACCACGCTCCGGCGCCGCAGCGTATGCAGCGCCCGTCCATAGTCTCCCAGCACTCCAATTCTGTGCCTTCAACGCCGTTGCAAGTAGCCCGGAGATACGAAACTCGCTCTCGCTCGCCGTCTCCCAATGGCGGCCTGGGGAGCCATTCGCCGCGCTCAGTCTCCTCCGAAGCTAACAGCGCAATGCCAACCTTGAGACCCTCGCGGCCATTCAAGTGTAAATTCGAGACCAATGTTGGGATGCTGGGCCGAAGAAGAGTGCCGTACCAATCTGACGAGATATTAGAGCAGGCAAACGAGGACCTGAAGAAGTCCTTGGACCCACATGAAGACGACAAGCTCAGCGGAGACATGCGTGAACTCTACGACCGGTTACAGCCCACCCAGCAAGACATCGACATACGCGACACATTCGTGAAGAAGGTGCAACGTATTTTGGAGACAGAGTTTCCGGGTACCGAATTCAAGGTCCATATCTTCGGCTCGTCTGGTAATATGCTTTGGACGGCCGAGAGTGACGGTATGGCTTGCGCATGGCCCCCACTTCACAATTACGCTAATCAATGAGTAGTTGATATTTGCATCCAAACGCCCATGAAACGGCTAGAAGAGATGCACATGCTGGCCGAGGCCCTCGACAAACGTATGTTATACCTCTAACTTGTACTTATGCTTAACTAACATTGCACAGACGGCATGGATCGCGTTGTTTGCATACCCGCGGCCAAGGTTCGAATTGTAAAGATTTGGGACCCTGAGCTAAAGCTAGCTTGTGACATCAATGTCAATAATGTTGCTGCGATTGAAAACACGCGCATGATCAAGACCTACATCCAGATCGATGACCGCGTCAGGCCTTTGGCCATGATCATAAAACATTGGACGAAGCGACGTATTCTGAACGATGCTGGTATTGGCGGCACAATCAGCTCATATACTTGGATATGCCTGATCCTCAACTTTTTGCAGACGCGCGAACCGCCAGTTTTGCCTGCTTTGCACAATCTTCCGGATAGAGCGATTGACGAATCCACAGGACGACCGTCATTGGGTGCATTTGCAGACGACATAGAAAAGTTGCGAGGTTTTGGCAAGAAGAACAAGAAGACCTTGGGCGAATTGTTGTTCGACTTCTTCCGATTGTATGGCCACGAAGTAGATTACGAGAAGGAAGCCATTTCTGTTCGGCAGGGGAAGCGGATTACTAGAGAAGAAAGGGGCTGGCACCCTGGTGGAGGTCACAAAGAGGGAGTCAATCGTCTCTGTGTCGAGGAACCATTCAACACCGAACGAAATCTTGGAAATTCAGCGGATGGTTATGCCTGGCGTGGAATTCACCTAGAGCTTCGTCGAGCTTTCGATCTTTTGGCAGATGGTCAGCAGCTGGAGAAGGCTTGTGAACAGTTCGAATATCCCCCCGAGGAGAAATCGAATGCGATCTTTAAGAAGCCACAGTCACAAAAGGCTACCATCACTTCGAGCGTTCCAAATCGAAATGGCCGAGGAGGATCAAACCACCCCAGGGCCAAGGGAGGTTACAACATGAAGGGTCAATATGGCAATAACCGAAGGTCATCAGGCAGCTCGTCTTTTGGTCAGGGCCGGCCACAATTTCTCCACAGCCCGCCCATTCCCGTTACAAACGGCCAAGAATACTTTCAATTTCCAAGGGGTTTGCATGATCAATTGCAATTGCACGACCAGCTATACCAACAATATCAATTGCTCGAGATGCAGTCGAATTCGCTACGAGCGCAACTGGCCGCTCAACAACAAGCTCAACAAGCCCATCAGGTGCGCGCTGCCCAGATGCATGCTCACGCAGTGGCCCAGGCACAAGCGCAGAGCCGAGGGCCTAATAGCACGAGTGGCTCACCTCAGAAGTCTTCGTACGTCAATGGTCGACAAAGCCCTCGATTGGCAGAGATGGGATTACCACCAAATGCCCTTCCTCAAGGGTTTCTCTACCATTATCCTGGGTTTTTCAATCCGGCGCAAGGAGACGCTTCCTCACAAGACGGGCCACGAACCAACCCATCTTCTCCATCGTTAAGCAATAGCCTCCCTGGCGTGCGCAGGACAGTTCATCGAAACTCAAACGCAAGCGAGACAAGCTCGAGCCGCTCACATTCGCAGCCACCGCGAGGTGTACAGCAGCCTCCCATGATTGTAGGGTATCCGCCTCTGCCTCTGCCTCCATTTCTCGATCCTTCAACCTTCGCCGGTTATCCCATTGCACGATCAACACAGGATCCTCCAAATCTTCAGCCAACGTCCGATGCTCAATACAGCCCCACATCAAGTCCGCCGAAGCCCACTGTTGCACCCTCCGAGCCAAGCGTTCCCGTGGACCGTAGCGCTTTTCAGATTCCCGAACAACCTCAACCGCGGTCCCTCCAAAGTTATGCAGTGCCAGTTATACCCTCCTTCAGTGAGCTTGCTCAGCGCCGTAGACGGGTATCGTCAGAAATCACTCAACCTCTCCTCAATACCGCACTGAGGCGTGTGTCTCGATCACCCTCACCTCTTGGGGGTCATGTGCGAAGCTACTCCACTGCGAATGCACCAGTTGGCCCAAGCAACGGGGAGCCACGAAAGGCGCGTGTTGATTCCGTGCGTCCACCGCTTGATAGTGGTCCAATGATCGTGAACGGCTCGTTTCCGACTCCACTCCGACCTAAGAGCGACACCCTCGATAGTGTCAATTCCGAGTTGCCTAACATGGCAGGTCTCGGAATCAGCACGAACACAGCCATTCATCAAATCAACGATCTAGAAGCGCGCCAGCAACAACTGTTGGAAGAAATGAAGAGACAGAACGCTGTAAAGGCTGCAAGCCCTCCTATTGCGAATGGATCATTGAAAGAAGGCCCACTAATCGAGGATGATAGTTTATCGCGAGTACCAAGCGAAGGCCAGCAACCGTTCCCGATTTTATCGGAGAGCTGGATCAACTTTGAAGCTACCAACGGTCACCAAGACAACCTTTCCGAATCAGTGTCTCCTACTCACGCAATACCAACACACTCATTGCCTCCCCAATGGCGCACACCAGCATATGCGAACGGACTCCCAGCCCTGGACACTTCCAAGGTACCTCGAGCACATCCACAGGAGGTCCAATCGGCTACGCTACCGTTGTTGTCACCTGTGTTAGAGACCCACACTCCGTCGCCGACCACTACCCGATCCTCTGACCTAACCAAACTCATGAATGCTACAAAGATTCATACGAAGGAGAATAATCAGCACACTCGTCGCGCATCCCATACACCTGCGTCTAACGCGAAACAGGATAGTCGAAATGGACAGCCAAAAGGTGGTAACCAAGGTGGCGAAAGAGGAGTTAAGTCGAATGGCGGAACTAGCACTTCAACTTCATGGCAAAATCCTCCCCGTAGGAAGGGGAAGAACAAGAAAAATAAAGGCCCAGAATTGAGGAATGCAGGGGAGCCACTCCCCGCCAACGCGGCAGACCGTAAAGGGGGTTAGAGGCACGCATTCGTGCTCTGTAGAGCAACTTGGCAACGACTTCGAGTTTCGGGCACTACCGCCCGCTCCGTTTGGATCTGATAGAAATTGAGAAGCCCGTCATCGCCACAGATTTTGCAGTTTTGAGCCCGAGAGCCACACCAATAGCTTTCAGCCCTCGGGACCGAATTCTCTGGCATCGTTGCTTTTCGTTTTCCGATTTACCAATTTGGCTCCATACCTGGCTGTATGTGTACAAATTGCCGCGGGATCGTCGATGGAAAAGAGGAGGTCATCCAGGGCTGGCCACAGCTGGCAGTAGCATTTGCATCTTCACGTTCTCATCACACTCGGCGGCGCGCCCGAGATGGGCGTCCGCGCAGAGAAATTCGTGACTTTTCTTTACTCTTTCCTTATTTCACCCTTGGCGTTGTTCAATCATCCGTTGCTCTTGTCCCCCCTGTTCACGCACGCATACATCTTTGAGAAACTGTTGGCCGGCATCATCTGGAGTTTTCATTTGTACCCTTTTGCTTTGAACTTGGGAGCGCACAGTATAAATCGGTACACAACGCGCTGCTGTTGCTTGTAACTTTCCTGTCTCCTATCTCTTTGGTTGCAAAACTCTCCCAGGGTTGACATGGGCTGGCTCACTATTGATGTTTTTATCATGGACGCAAATGGATGGGAAGGGACTGCACCATGCACACTGAGTTAGGTTGGGCTTGGGCTGGGTCAGGATGGGAGGCGGACTGGGCTGAGCATGTATAGATTAAAAGCGAGAGCGCCCGTTTTTGAAGAGTGAAGTCCAGGATGTCTGTTATTTGTACGATGCTGAGATGCAGGGTAGGAGAAATGCAAAATGTTAAATTGTTACGCAGTGTACAAAGAGCGATTGGTTTTGGAGGGCGCTGTATGCGTATTGCAGGCCTATCAATTGTAGATTTGTACGTTTGACATGTCGTTACGCATAGCGAACTTGACACGATCATGTTGTATGGCACATGTACAGTTGAGTATGAGTGTTTACTCGTTGCCATATATGTACAAGCTGAAGAAGGCTCGCGAGAATATCTCAACAGCAGGATAGATGTTCTCGTACATTGAAGCAAGGGTAGGAAATGGCTACCATTGGCTTAAGTAGACGTGGATAGTCTTGTCCGCTGTTGAAGCTTTTCATAGTCTTTGGACAAAAACAAAAAGTATTCGTATGATTCATTGGAAAAAGCAATGGCCACTGAGGTGATGTCCAAAATGTAAACCACCCACGAGCACCTGCCAACTCCGTCACAGAGAGCGGGCCCACAACCCCACCAGGCCCTCGAAAAACAGCAAAAAAAGAGAATTTGACTTCGGATTTATGCGACACCTGTGAGATTCGAACTCACGCTCCCGAAGGAACTGGCTAACTTTCCCCGAAAGGACTAGCAGGCCAGCACGTTAACCGCTCCGCTTTTTTCGCGTTAGCTCAAGTACCGAAGTGGTTGGTGTGAAAGGACAACTTACTCAAAGTGCCATTTTGTAATTGATGACAAATCCTAAAATTAAATGTACTATGTAGACTGTATATGTGCTGGAGTCAAGGGGGGCGATAGTCAGAAGCGTAGATGAAGGGGTACGTGGTGAGTCAAAGCAGGTGAGTGCCGTAGCTGAGGCTTCAATTACACGATGTGGAGAAAAGCGGGGCATTGATGACGCGAATGGTGGTGAGTGGATAGCGAACATCGGCTGGAAAAGCTACACGTTGCATAACGAGAACTAGATTCACGGGTGTAGGGAAAAGGAACTTTTATGGGAGGTGCTATGAGAAGACATGTGTGCATCTTAGCACCTCGATTCTAGTCACTATGGTCTTCCAGGTATTCAATCGTTTCACGACTCCACTTGCTTGAATTTGATCTTTTGATTGTGGGGAAATAGGAGTAGAAGCTTTTTGAATCACTATGTATGGCTTGCGTTCTTTCAACATGAGTCTACATTTCTCTATTCGTTGAAAGAACTGGTGTTGGGTACCATGCGGAACCAGGAATCTATTACTCTCAAATTCCCGCGTGAAAATGGTCCTACTCAAGTCTTTGCGGGATTGTAGCATTCATGAGCCCTTCGCAATGCTAGTACAGCGGACCAAAACATGAAATCTTTGAAGACTGATATCTCCCATCGAGTTGAAAATGGGCAGCTAGAGTGATGAAGGACATTTTCACCTGGAGGCTCTGCATCCATGCTATAGAATATTTACAGCAACATGATTTCCGGGAATATTTTATTTGCTGTGTTAATGCTAGAAAGACTTTGTAAATTGGGAAACTACTACATATTGATCTTGATGCTTGTCTGTGAAGGAGGCTCTGCAAACGGTACGCTAGCGGGGGAACCAATCAACGGAGCTCGGGCACTACGTCAGCTTCCACGTTGCATCTTCAGATGTCAATTGGCTACGACGCGACCACATCCCTCGTTCCCTTTTCGTACAAACCACGCTCCTTCTACTGTTTGTTGTTTATGTTAGCTGTGTAAAGTGTAAAGCTTTATGTCTGCGATTGATAGCCGGCACCATCTGCCTTAGACGCACATCGAGCGCTTCGAGTACACCATGGCAAAGGAGAATCGCGCGTTTGACACGCAGAGGCTAGGGGCAGGGTATGGCTTCGAGTCGCACCCAAAGTACACTGTCGAAATGCCACCAACATGGGTACTGGTCGTGGGCCTAGGATTTCTCCTCTTCGCATTAGCCTTCTGGGTACGGAACCGCGACGCAGATCAAGACACGCGACTAACGTGAACATCGTGTACAGGTCTACATAGCTCTCAACCTCCTTGCACCTACTCCACGTGCCCCACGTCGTTCCGAAAAGCAATACACGACCATATTACCTGACGGATCAAAAAGCGAACCCAAGGCACTACCATGTTGGCAAGACACTTGGGCAGCAGAAAAGGAGGCCGCAAAAAAGGCAGCGAAAGAGCCAGGCACGAAGGTTGTGATACCACCGCAGATGCCAATTGAACCGGCGACGTTATTTTTGAGCGTCGTAGTGCCCGCATATAATGAGGAGGAACGACTCGAAGGGATGCTGGAAGAGGCTGTCGACTTCCTACAGACCGAATATGGTGCAGCGCATGATGGGCCGAAGGGTCAGGAACAACAAAAGGGTTGGGAGATATTGGTAGTGAGCGACGGGAGCACCGATGGAACAGTGAAAAAGGCATTGGATTTCGCGAAGGAACATCAATTGAGTCAACACCCAATACCGAAACCAGGACCTTGGTCAGGCTCTGGAAACCAAAAAACGTTGCACTCGACACATATCCCACATGGCAGTATCCGTGTCATTACTCTTGAAGAGAATCGAGGCAAGGGTGGTGCAGTCACACACGGCATGCGACATGTCAGAGGCCAGTACATCGTCTTCGCAGATGCGGATGGCGCCAGTCGCTTCTCTGACCTGAAAAAGCTTGTTGAAGGTTGCAAAACGATTGAAGATGCAGACGGCCGAGGAGTCGCCATTGGCAGCCGGGCTCATCTCGTCGGAAGTGAGGCCGTGGTTCAGCGCTCCGCACTCCGCAACTTCCTCATGCATTCATTCCACATCTTATTGCGCATCATGACACCACCAGCCACAGCACGGATAAAGGACACCCAGTGTGGATTCAAGCTTTTCTCCAGACCAGCACTACCTTATATCATCCCTTACATGCACTCCGAAGGCTGGATCTTCGACGTTGAAATGTTGATGCTGGCCGAGAGCGCGGACATTGCCATGATCGAGGTAGCGATTGGGTGGAAGGAGGTTCTCGGAAGCAAGCTGAATGTGATATGGGATAGCATTGGAATGGCCTGGGGATTAGCGTTGTTGAGAGCGTGTTGGATCTTGGGCATTTATAAAAGGGATTAGCCGAGTGACGGCTCTTAGACGTCCATGGTCCATTGATGAACGAGGAAAGAGAGACACTGTGATGCAAACGTACGCTGATTTCTCGTCCGATACATGTGCTTCAATCTAAGTCAGAGCTTCCTTCTCATAGTACCATTTATGGTGGAATAACTTGGGCCAGTCGTCATGCAGTACTCCTTCCGTCGACCCAGCTGCAACACTCGTACTGAATCCAGGTACGTACAGATGTTAAAGATAATGAAAGGAGGGAAGTAGTAACAAAAAGCCATGAGCTGGATTCAACCGAAGACGATATCAGCATTGTAGTTATACACGCAGTGCTCAAGTGTGCAGCCTTGACTTCTACAGCTACCATCACATGGTGAAGCTCCAGAACAACTGTTGCAAGCGCTGAGACCTTCACGATGGTCGCGTAATGTTGCCATCGTAGGTAAAGGCATGATTGCGGTCAGTGCCACTTCACACCCGTATCTCACATGACACTTTCACGTTTCACTTTCACATTTCATATTTCACATCCCATCTTTCACTCTGGCCATAGTAGCGCCTTGGCGCGGCCCCGTGCTCGTCAATATAGAGCTACCTAGGACTTTGGCCACCACGCTCAACGACACCCTACTTGCAACCGCTCTCAACCAGCCAACAAGGTTGCCACGATGTCGCCCACCGAGTCCGAGGTCGTCCACGACAAAACCTTCCTGGAGGAAATGCACAAGGACTCTACCGAGGAGCCTGAGCACAAGGATTCCACCGAGGAGCCCGAGCACAAGGAAGACGCTGAAGTTTCTGGCGAAGCTGCTATTGCCAACCCTCCCAAGCCCTACAGCCTCTCCGACTTCCGCAAGACCCTCCAAATCCAGGAGGAAAACCTCAAGGTCGCTCTCGAGGCCGAGAACCTGAGACGCGCTCGTCAGTTCGCAATCACGGATGCGAACTTGGAGAAGCTCGAGCGCAAGAACAAACGAGAGCTCGACAAGTTGACCGCGGAGTTCGACAGGGCCGCGGCAAGGCTCGAGAGGCTGCAGCGACAAGTCAACACCGCTGCCGCAGAGCTCAAGTCAATTCAGGACCTGAGGCGTGACACTCGCTTGCTCCTTGGTACCACTGCCACTCCTATTCCGTTCCGTAGCATGGCTGACAGACTTGATATGTTCAGGCCCTAGGCTGTCAAATACCACGAAGTGACTGGGGACACGGAGAAGGATGATGATACCCAGCAGTGGTTGGAGTGACTGACGAGGCGATGATACCCCGGAGGAACGGCGTTACTTCATGATGAGATTAAGGAAATGAGGAGAGGGTCTGTATATAATTGGAATGGGTTGGATAGTCACGGCTTGTCCACCCATTCCAAATCCTGCAATACACGGCACTTTCGCAATCGAACATCCCCAGATATATCGTGCCTTCACACTCAACGGTAGGTGTTGAAGCAGGCTTGTGTGAATCGAGTTGAGATTCCTACCTACTGAATACACATAAGTGGCTGACACCTTCTTATAGCGAAGAAGGCGGCTTGCTAGCTGCGGCCGCACAATGTGATCATGTGAGGCAGCAGGCGAAATAATCTGATTGTCCATCAGACCGTGACTCTCAGCCGCAAACTGACTAGACATAGAATGGGAGCTTGTTGAAACCAACAAAAACCTGTGGCATTTGATTTATTTCTCTGGAGGACTGCGGCCCTTCGACTCGCCCTCCTCCCAGCATACCCCTTCGCACCTAGTAGCATAAATTGTTCGGTTCGAATAGCCTAGTCAAATGCATAGGCCCTTTTCGCCTTTGTAATCGTGATAGCATTTCCATATGCCTGAGCATTTGCCGGTCGTGGAACCCGTTCCGATGCAGTCTCCATTCCCTTCGGTGCGGTCTCGTAGTACTGGGCTAGCTGGTCTGGTTCGTGTGAAAAAACTTTGCAAATTATGATCCAAAATCTGTGTGATGCTACACTCAAACCAGACGAGTGGCACTTCCGGACCGCGATTGATGAAAGACTAGCTAGAACACAATATTCACCCTTGCGGCTTAAAAGAACAGGCGAATTTTGGCCACACAGCGAAATGTGAAAGTGCCCACTCTAGGCGAGAATATCTCGCCAGGTCAGAGGGCCCAGCATTTTGAGATAATAAAGAGTTCTGCCAGTGTAAGGCGTGCACAACTAGAAGGAAATTAATTAAAAAGATGCTTACTTCTTATGTGAGTGCGAATCTTAGTAAATGTAAATTTCCGCCGTGATTCTAAAAGAAAGCTAAGTGAGGGCACCTCAGGACTACGAATAAAAGAAAAACGTGTTATAAAGTTGTCGCCAAGTCCACCAGGCAAGTCTGTATTAAACTTGTGCCCTCAATTGTTATAGCGCTTCAAGACCGCCTTCAGCATTAAAAAAGAGCGATAGAGACTCTTGACTACAGAGGTGAAGTCTGCGGTATTAATTCATACGTCGTATTTGGTGTCTAGTATATGCTGCTTGGAGGGTGGTTCCAGCATTGAAATCGGTCAGAAACGAATTGTTAGAAACAGTGCCCCGAGGGCTGCAGAAGATCTCAGAGCCAAAATCCCATAAGTA